CCCCACTTCATAGGCCCCCACAATCTAGTTGTAAGGGGGAAAAATTAATTCAAATATTGTGTAGAAAATTGATAAATTCACATCCACATTTGATTCCACAACCCTTTCTTTCACATAAGTAGGGATGAGTAAAAAAATCGAAAAAATCACAAATGGATTTGAGTCAGATCAATTTGTATGGTTTTGTTTGGTTTTTTCAATGTATGATTTGATCTTGAATCTTAAAATATCTAAACCATAGTTCACGGTTCAGTCCATGGTTTCATAGCCATGGTTGTAATGTGAACCAAACCGAATCGTTTAGATTTTACATATATATAATTTGTTATATATGATACACACTCAAGTGTCTTATTGGTATCTCATATATAATAGTAGACTAGTTATAAACAATCATTTAAACAATTTTATTTATAAAATAATGACATACTATTGTAATCATGTTGTGAATGATAATAAGATTTAGAAAAATCATGATTTCAAACTATACCGAACCGCATTTCCTTGGTTCAGTCCCAAAATTTCCATGATTTTATTTAATTCCAAATTTTATAAAAAAATTGTATAGAGTGATTTGGTCTTTATATACTTCAAAACTAAACTAAACCAAACCATGCTCACCGTACCAATAAGTGGATCAATTTGGCAATGGATTTAGTGCTTACCTTTGAATAACCATCTAGCCTTAGAAAATTTTGAAAAACAATTAAGCCTCCGTTTGGGAAGTGGGTTAGCTTTTTGACTTTTTGACTTTTTTGGTTATTTTAGTCTGGGCTAAAAAGTTTGGTTTGGGAAGGGCTTTTTGGCTTTTTGGCTTTTTTGACTTTTTTTGTGAGAGAAGAATGTAATGATTATGGGTTGGATGTGATATTTTGTTTTTTGTGGAGGAAGATGAAAAGAAATAAATATATATTTGTCAAGAAATCATTTTTTGTTTAATTATCCATAAAAAAAATATGTATAAGTAATTTTAGTTTTCTTCAAATTTTTTTTCTCAACAAATCTAAAATCCGAAAACTGTATATCATATTCTGATGATGATGATGAAAAAGAAGTGGCATTACGTGTTGGGTTATATATGGAGTTTGAGATCCAATTAGTTTATTAAAAAAATTTTAATTTGGTTTGATTTTGGTATAATATATTTTATATATATTATATCTAATTTGTGGAGATCTAATTCAGTTTGATAACAATTAGGGTTTGATTACAAAACTTAAGATTCAATAATATATATACATATATATATATATATATATGTATGTATATATTGGTTTTGTTGCTTTAGTGCTTGGTGTGCACTTGTGGGTTTGTTATTCAAGCATAAGCTTGCTGTGTTGGGGAGCAGAAGTCTTAGATCAAACTCGGTGTTTTTTTTTTGTGCGTGATGTGATGCTGTTTTGAAGCTGATTTGGGATAATTATATTGGGTCTTTTACAATTTTGGTTCTGAAGATTTTAGTTTATCTATGTGGTGAGGTATTTCCTCTTTTTTTATTTGTGATTATGTGGGAATTCACGTAAGAGACCACTCGTGTCTCGTTTGTAATCGTGTGGAAACTTATTTGATTGATAGTAGAATCGGATTTCGATCCCGTGGACGTACCTCACATTGAGGGCACCACGTAAAAATTCTTGTGTTACTTTTGATTTAATTTTTTCGCATTAATTTTTATTCCCATTAATTGATTTACTTGTAAGGAATCATATTTTCCCTAACATTACAAAGGTATCCCATCACGGAGATTGTCATGTAGTACCCTTCATCAATATAAATGACTATGTTTTATGTTGTCTCTCAAATATTAACATAAAAAAGAAAATTATATTTATCCAAAAAAAAATGTTACAAGAATGATATGATAATGCTATTTTTGTAAATAAATATAAAAATTCATATTAAATTACATCATTTTGTGTAAAAATTACTGTTATATATATCATTACTTACACAGATAAGGGCTCCGTTTGGGAATAGCTATTCGGGATTTTTTTGTTATTTTAGACATAAAAGACAAAACATCACATCCAATCCATAATCATTACACTCTTTTCTTACCAAAAAAAAAATCAAAAAAGCTAAAAAATTATTTTCAAATCAAACTTTTTAGCCGAGGTTAAAATAGTTAAAAAAAACTAAAAAGTCAAAAAATCAACCCAAACAACAGCTATTACAAACCAATCAAAATGGAGAATGACAAGTCAAGATAACTATGCCCCCATATTGTCCACACCAATCAAATAACTGTGATAGATTTTTTTTTATTTAAAAACAAATAGAAAAACTATGATGAATTTGATTACATTATCTACCAATTACAACTAATTATGTCCCTATATTATATCTCAAACGCTAACACAAATATGATGAATTTCATCGTCTAAATCAATTAAAAATGAATAAAGATGTGACGGCACAATGGACTTATTTGGTGCAATTAATAGTTAAAAGTTGGTAACTAAAAAGAGAAAGTTAAAAACATTATACTCCGATTTCTAGATAATTAATTTTTTTTTGTTTCTTTTTTTTTTTTTTTAAACCAATCTCTACCTAATAAATTATAAACAAAACCTATATCAAATAATTTGACACATACTTTCAAATAAGTTATAAATAATTTAAATAAACTGAAAAAATTATAAACAACTCAGATAAATAGTACCAAATAACCCCAATACCCTAATGCTGTGTTTGGTTGAGGGATTTGAAAAGGGATTTGGAAAGAAAAATAGAAAAAATTGATGAAATGTGAATAAAATATGACTATATTTCACTTAATTTTACACACTTTTTTTCTTTTTTTTTAAATCTCCCTTCAAATCTTTTAACCAAACACAGCGTAAAAGAATGCAATAATTGGTGCCCTGCCACCAAACTGGCCTGGCAGACAAAATAGCAAAATCATTAAATGTTTTTCCATGCATGCGTGGAGGGCAGAGTAAATTGTCTTCATCTTCCCCCATGAAACTGAACTTCCACAATTATAGTAGAACAAGCCAACAACAATTGTGCATTATCAAAGGCTATTCTCTCTGCCTTGTCAACATCTCATAAACTCTCTCTCATAATAATAATAATAATAATAATAATAATAATGGGAACAAATGAAAGTTTATATCAGCACTTGCAAATACATTGGTTTAAAATCATTTGGGAAACACAAGTTCAATCATATTCATTTCAAAACAATACGCCATCTTCAATCTCCTCTTTTGAGGGGAAGAGAATGGAGGAGGGAAAAATTCATGACCCACTCTCTTACAATTTTAGGATCATAAAAAAAATATTATGAAAATAATCATGAAAGTTTTTTTACCGTTAGATTACACATATAATAAAACATCATTCACTAATTAAATGATGAAAAAATTTCATAAAGTATTTCATGATATTTTTTTCATGATCCTAACATTATTAAGAGTGATAATCTATAAACAGAATCTAAAACTACCCATTTCATAACTTCAAGATAATCAATATATTGCAAAACATCAAATTTCTAAGGCAACATTTATCTAGCTTTAGGGTAATTATTTTTTTTTTTACACAAGTATGAATTTGTATTCCATTAAATTCTAATTAAAATTTTTTGAATTTTCAAGCCCCATTATATTTTTAATCTGAGTTGTTTGGAATGTTCTAAATAAATACATTTTTTGAATTTTTATAAAATATGAATTGGGTATGGGTTGGGTTTGAAGTGATATAGTAAAGAGGTGATGTGACTTAAATAAGATAGTGACTTTTTAACTTTTTAACTTTTTTAATACATGACAAACAAGGCCAAGTCAAAATTACCCTTCAAATAATAATTGTTCATCATATATGATTATCTATAAAAGAATATGATGATTTGACATTTATTTTGATTTTCAAAACTTTAAAATATCAATTTTCAAATTGCTTCAATTGAATATTAAAAATAAAAATTAAAAAACCCAAAAAAATTTTTTTTTTTTTTTTGAAAGAATTTTAGAAAATTAAATTATTTTTTTGTGCAAAACTGAAAATTTTGTTTCTCTGAAGGAGCATGATGATAAAACATTAATGTGCAAAATTAGGAAAAAAAATTTAAAAAATAAAACAACTGATAATGTTCTCAATTTTAAAGTAAAATAAAAAGAATTGATAATATTCTTGGCGTAATTAAATAGTTGAATCAAACCAATAAGTTGAATGGAAAAAACGTTTAATCTCATGGTCTTTTTTTTTTTTTCTTCCATTAATTAGTGAAACAATTATCTAGAACATTACTATGCAAAATTGATAATGTTCTTAGTTTCAAAAATTGAGAAAAACTGATAATATTCTCAGTTTTACTAAGTAAGACTTATTGATTCAAAAAATCTTAGATAAGACCTGAGCTACCATAACATTTATAAATAAGACTTTTAGGTAATTAATTTTGTTTTAAATTTATTTAAACTATTTTTATTGTATAAGTTGTAAGCTGACTGGTACAAAATCCAAAAACAAAAGCCATGGGCAGCACATTTAAGCTGTTAGCTATGCTAGAAACGTAGAAGATTTTCACAGAATGAGATAAGATGTGAAACAAAGGTGTGTAACCCACACAAGTAAGGTTCACATATGAGGCTCACCTTTTGTCTCACATTTGTATCCAGTTCCAAGAAAATCTTCTATGCACTTGGCTCTCTTTTAAGTTTGCAAACAAAGCCAACCAAAATTTTCATATTGTTTAAACTATTATTACTGCATAAGCTGTAAGCAGAAAGTACAACAAACAATATGACATAAAATCTCAAAAAAATCATAAGCAATTCATTTAGGTCATGTTTGTTTGGGTGGACATGAGCTTGGGATTGGACTAATAGTCCAATAAAATTATTAATCCGATGTTTGGTTAAACAATTGAAATACAGACTAATTATTTTAAACTTAACTATTAGTTAAGATAGGATACATAATCCAACGGATTCGTAGTCCTAGGACTATTAGTCATGGGGATGCTAATCCAGTCCGCCCAAACAAATATGGCCTTAAGATGATGCATCAAACTGCACATTGGATAAAACAAAGGTAAATAAGAGATTACAGCGAATTTGTCCATTGTACATTGTCACAAAACAGCAGCCACTTGTCATTATCATATCAATATTTCAACAATTCATTTGGTCTCAAAAGTACATATCATATATATATATATATTTAACAGATGAGGCTTACCTTCCTAGAGAATTATCTCCATTTCCCTGAAGCTTCCTTTGTCACTGTCTCTAAAGCATACTCAATTTGTCACTGTTCTGAATTGGAAATTCCTCAAACACCTCTCATCTGATATAAAAGAGAAAACACTATGCTTCTCTGAGTAATGGCTTAGTGAAAAACAAAAAACAAAGATCAAATCAATCCCAATTTGTTCTTTTAAATCGAATCAATACAAGGAAATAGATCATTTGAGGAACTACAATAACAAATAAAGTGATATCAATTATTAAGAATCAAGAAAACAAGCTTAGGCAGAAAATTTTAGGCACGATAAAAAATTGTAATTTCTGTCAACATAAAAATTTCAAAGGGGACCGACATTCATTCCCTGAAGTATTCTTTAACAAGACTAGCTTAACCATTTTGATGATTTGAGCATTCACAAAAGGGACAAGAAGGAAACAAGACGACAAAGGCATTGCGTATATTATCAACCATTTGAACAGTTCATCACTAAACTCCAGACTTCATAAAGGAAGTCCAAGACTAACATGGCCCATGAAATGGAAGAAAGAAGAAAACTTGGGACATTAGAGGAGAAGAAACAGACAAAATATTATCATATGTGCCCACAAAACCAAGTGTCATACATAGAAACGACACGTAGGGCAGGGTTCTATGAGTATAACATGAAATATGCGTTTGGATAAGGGTCATGTGTAATCACAGGGGCTATCAAAAACTCTGAATTTATGAAATTTTGTAAAAGGCACGCATTCTTCTTCACATCTAATGTAAAAAGGATACAACTTGCAAATCACAGCTCAGCAGTAAAGTCCAAAGAAAAAATTCCAACAATGAGAGAGAGAGAGAGAGAGAGAGAGAGGAGAAAAGAACAGAAAGAAAAGAGAAAAGGCAAAAAAAACAAAAGAATACATGTTTCCTAGCTTTTGCATTATCATTAATAATCCCAAGATGCATGTAAATTGCAAATTAATCCATTTAAGAGTCCAAACCTGCTAAACAGAAATTTCACAAGGCATTATATGCTCCCTATGAGGCCGTTTGGTACCAGCTTATATGAGCTGCTTGTAGCTTTTTTTATTTATTTTTATTTTCAAAGTCTATGCTAGACGGCTTGATGTAGTTTCTACTTAGAACTTATTAGGCAAAAATAACTTATAATAAGCTGGAAAAAAAAAAAAAACTAATTATCTGGAAGCAGGGGAGGGGTGTTTTTGGTTTTTGTTTTTGATTATCAGCTTTCAGCTAACAAAAAGCTGCACCACATCTGTTCTTGAACAAGTATTAGTAATGGTATATGAGAAAGAGAGCTGTTACAGTTTGATCTTTCAGTCCAATCAGGGGTGGTGTGGTAGTGAATCAACAATCAGGCCTAGGAGCTGATGCAGAGAAAGAAAATGTATACTAACTAAAGGGTTAATTCAATTTTCAATAACAAGCGAATAGTTTGACTATTGCTTCGGCACGCATAACCTACTTTGGTTTGTCTGTTAGGGACACAAGAGATCTGAGAACACCCGGACTGATCTTGTCAGCAAGAACACCTTTTTCTGAAATCATGAAGGACTTCTCCTTCACATAACTTTGTAGTTTCTTTGCATCCAGGTCAAGTTGTGCTTGATCTGCATTAAATCATTGACAATATTTAAGCACCTAGGATTCAAGAAATAGAAAGACAATAACGTATTTGGAGAATAATGGCAAATAAGCTATTAGTGTATGATATGTCATTCAAAAGTTGAAGCACGTAACAACAATGACATTATTCGACTTCAATGTCTAAACTGGCAAAACATAATTAATTAGTTCAAGCATCTAGAGAATGCCTTGGAAATTACTTGGAACCCCAAAGACATTAGCATTTGCAACCTGCTAATGCCGAAATAGATGTTCTTCAAAATGGACAAACCTTTGAAAAGAAGTTGAGTTCTTTCATAAAAATCATAAACAATACTATGCAGCAAGCTGAATACCTTGATGTAACGCAGCTACATGCCAACTTCGTTTTATTCACTTCTCCCCACATTTTCCCCATCCCTTTATATAATATAGACTTTTTTTTCTTTTCTTTTTTGGATCGTTTTTTTATCCCAAAAAAAAGAAGAAGAGGAGGATCAAGTACAAGAGGGGGGGACAAGAAGTACACCGAGAAAAAAGAAAAGGAAAAGAAAAAATGTGCTCACAATTGTGATCAGTTTGAAAGCTATTATAGTTTTAAGTTCTGAATTCTAGACCTTTGCCATTATCACAATAGTGATTGCTCTTTCTTCCAATATATCCCCACTTCCTCTTTCCTGTAAAATTAGTTGAAATAGCTGTCACCATCGGGCAAAGGTATTCAATTGATTATCGAGAATGGAATTAATCCCACTAGGCACATCTAGAAGTAAACAAAGTGCCTCCCACTCAAGCTTTTCAAGGACCACTAAATCTAGAAAAATTTACTAGGAATTGTAGGAAGATATGTTCAAGTTCTTATGACATTGGACTTATCATTCCTCATTTGTTCTTCATTCTCATCATCCATTTCACAGCATAGATTACTTTTACCTTCAAAATAAATGGGTAAAAGAAAAACTTTAAATAGTAACAAAACTTGTATATAGAATTTTGCATGTCATCAAATTGGAAGAGTTCAAATGAAGAACATTCAATGTACTACTTATGATTACTAATATCATATTAAGTAGTTAAAATAGATGTCAACAATTAGTTTATCCTCGATTGACAAATGAGGTGATATAGGGACCTATTAGGAGAATAACTATAGGAGGTGTTAGCAATTGTGGAACACACTTCACCAGGGTCAGTGAGACATGAATAATAGAGAAGAACAATAAACAAGAATTGTAGATCACACGCACACACAAGAATACAAGATTTATATGGTTCACCTCAAAATTATGGCTATGTCTATAGTCATTGCAGTTTCACTATGATTAGAAAGAATTACAAACCAGATACAGAGACAGCCACCACCCTCGAACTACATGTACATAGAATTAGGGTCACTAGTGTAAAGATACCAAAATACTTTGCAGTGGAGTGGTCAGTTGTTCAATACTTATCAATATCCACACTACCAATAGGAAGTAGTATAGAGAACCCTATAATAATAGAAAGCAAAGAACATGAAAGCATGCAAAAAACTAGGAGTGCAATGACAAGTATTGGCTAAAAGAAATTATTATATTTTGCAACATCTAATTAACTCATAAATGCAAAATTCATAATTTTAAAAAGTGGTTCATGTACTAGATTTGTGTAAGTGTCTTGTACCTCCATCAATTTGAAATTATTTCCCCCACTTCCAACTTTTTGATATCCCCTTGTTAAAAAATTTAGAAGATAAAACTCCACAAATGTCATATATATGGTGCATACTCCTAATACTTGTTTTCTCATTATATTTGTGTTTAACTTTTGTTATATATTCTCTTATTCTATTAATAGTTGTCCACCACATATAATGTTGGCCATATAAATGATGAATTCTTATTAGAAATATTTCAAGATGTGGGAGTTGCATTCCGAAGAATTCCTAACGAGGTTCTTATTGAGATATTCACTACATAGATTGTGTTGGGGACTAGTAGAGAAGAATCCAATAAGTGGCATCGAAATATTTGAAACTATGAAATTTTATTTTAAATTCAGACAAATGTTTCTAGGGGTATCTAAGCATTGTTATTCTACTTGTGTTTCAAACACATTCCCTCCCCACAAGTATTTTTGGTACTTGTGGGTGGACTACACCATGACACCAAATCAAGCTCAAGCAACTCCATGCACCAAGGCATATACAGGGCTAAGTCAATGAGGGAAAATAATTGTGTACCAAGTTTGCATATTGCGCATATGGGGATTGAAGAGTGTCTAGATATGTTGCCTTCAATCTCCAGGTCCAAGGTCATGGCACCATATGCATTGATCTATGATTAGGGGCAAGAATGGCTCAACCTAATAAAGTGGAGCCGGAGCTGGAGCTGGAGCAGAGTCATGTCCTAACATTAAAGGCCTATGTGTCGCATGAATTTGCTGACATGTGGAGGCATCTAAGTTATGTAGAGGTGACACGAGGCAAGGTGGGACTATACACCCACACTTCACAAAAAATAAAGGATGTTCCAAAGCCATTTTCTTCATTTAATCAATTCTAGTTTTGAACATAGACTGGACTTTATTTGTAAAGCTCTTGAATATAATTCCTCAAGAGAAACTAGCGGAAACATGGATTTGAGGAAAGACATAATTTCTAAATTTTTTTTAGAGAGTGAGATAGAGAGAGAACAAAAGAAGGTAATAAAATAATGTCTCTTAAGGTTGAAGTTTTTATGTGGTCTGTCTTATAAGAAACTCAGTACTAATGACATGTTTTAGAGGAGTAGACCAAATCGTCTTTTACTTTCACAACGGTGCATTACGTGCAAGAGTAAAGAGGAGGCTTTGGATAATCTATTTTTGCATTGGCCAGTTGCTATGGATTTGTGGCATAGATTACTTCAATTGGGAGAGATTTCTTGGGAATGCTTTTGATGGATAATAGAGATTTAGGGAAGGCTAGAGTGCTTTTGGTTTGTGTAATTTGCACGGTTTTTTGAGCGATTTGGTTGGATATAAATGCAAGGATTTTTTAGGACAAATTCGAAGTGGTTGAAGCTAGTATATACTATATGGGATAGAATTTGTTATTTGTCCTCTTTTTGGGCATCGGTTTAATAACCTTTAATGGGATTCCTTGTTTTTTATTTCCATGGATTAGATAGCAGTGTGTCACAAGCAATTTCAGTTTTAGCTTTTCTTTATTTCTTCTCTTTTGGGGGCTTCTTGTACTCCATTTTTTCTTTTGTAATTGACTTTATTTTAATAAAATTACTTTTTTCTTCTTGATCTAAAAAGAAGGATCTAACAGTTCACAAACGAACTTGGATTCAACATGGTAAGGGCACATTATGTATAATATGTTTCGTATACTATCCATTTTTAAGTCTTACTCTAACTAGGGGAGCCATGTATTGGATAAGGCAACTCACATTGTTCTTTGTGCTATAAATTAACTAGTGGAATGGCCTAAGCATAGCCCACACTTACTTTGAACTTAAACCATTAATCTCAAGCCCAACATGAAGAAAAAAAAATTAAGCTATGAGCCTGTCCAACCTATTCAAGTGAGTGTGTGACAAGCCCAACTTTAATATTGTGATATAAATTCGTTGGAAAACTCACAACACTTCACTAAGAATTAGAATTGTGGGGTTGGTTAACTTGATTGACTTCATTCATTCTCTTTAGATCTTGTGTAATGAGATGGGCTACTTGCATCACCAAAACAAGAAGCATCTTTAAGTGCTTTAAAGCATAAAGGAAAAGGTATAATGAAGGACAAGTTACCCATGTAAAAAGCCCTCTATCAATCTTCTACCCTGTTATCTTTTTTCCCAAACCTATATCCATGGGAAGCAATAATCACTTTGAAATGCATTAAGGACATCCTTGGAGATACAAGTCTTGTTATTTTACCACCATTCTGTACTCCTCTTTGCCTATTAATAGCCTAGTAGGCAAGTGGACGTGATCTAGTTTAACAATGCTTTTGCTTTGTTTGTGACCTAAGGAGCATGGATGGTCATTGGTCTTATAGTTGTAAAATTTTCATTTATTGTCATAGTTGTGCATGCCAATCACACCACACCATATGCACATCTCCACTTAAACCTGCCTTGCTTATAGTATATGAATAACAACGTTACCAATCTGTCTTTATATCTGTATTATCAAGACGACGTTGTGAAAATATCACTTTTTGAAATCTCTATTTCTAGTTTTATAAAAGTTACAATCTATATATTAAGTTTTAATTCTAATAATCTTAAACCTTCCTAATTCCAGAACTACTTCCCAACTTTCAATTTAACATCTAATATTGCTTATGTTTGATAGATATATGTCCTTTGTGTATCTTTTGATACAAATTAGATAAATTATACTTCTAAGAGAAAAGGGACCAAAAGAAAACCTCTCTCCAAGATGGTATGGGCTGCGTGAAATGGAATCCTAGCAAAGACATCAGCTCCAGGGAACATCATCCATGTTTTCTCCATTGAGTCATGGTTTCCACAAGTTGTGCACACCTCCTTTACCAGAGGCCTTGATAAGGGGCCCTCAATTTCCTTCATTATTGACTCAAAAGACGAAGGGACGCTTGTTTTTGTAGTCCGAGCCCTCTTCCTTAGAGCTGTTAGTGCTTCCCTATTCCCATTCCTCACTCTATCATTTTCAACCAACTGCATTTACAAGTATTTCTATACCATTAGTATTGGTTGTAAACAGAAAATGAATTAATATCATTCTCAACTTGGGCTCCAATTACCTGGTGTCTAGCCAGAAGAAGATTTTCAGCTTCAATTTCAATCTCAATTAGACTTTCTTGGAATTGCTTCACAGAGTCATCCATTTGAGTCCTTTACAAATATCAACTAAACAATCACAGGAATAATCTTTCAAACTGCATAAACTGTCAATAAGCTTCAATATTAAAAAAAAATAAAAAATAAAAAAGCATAAAAAAAAAAATTAGACAACGAAGAATGAACTATACAAGATCATAGGGTGGCAACAAGTAGAGTATGGGTCAGGGACCCAGCACGCCACTCCCACCCCAGCCCCCAGTTAACCTAACAATAATGGCTGCATCTAATTGCAGTAGTCTGCAGCAGATATACAGACCAAAGTTTCATGTCATTTAATCCAAACGTAAATCGTTTTGAATCGCTAAATTCACCGTTTTGAAATGAAAATGTGCCATGTTTGGAAACGCGTGCATTCCAAATGTAAATCGCTATCACAAATTTTAATAAGATCGAACATATATTCTTCTCCATTAAAAATAATACAAGTGCATTCATTAAAAAAAAAAACAAACAAACAAACAAAAAACAAACAAACAAACAACTTTTACCATAATATATGCATGAACTGTTACCATAATTTTAAAAACAATATATACATTAAGCTGGCCATACCCACATCCTATTTTTAGGGAAACTCGCATTTATGTATCTTTATTTTGTCATACATAAGAGCGCACACACATATACAAGTATACATATGTGTTTATGGCTCTGCCAAAATCGGTTTATCCTCTCGTTTAAGTGCGTCTTTTCTTCATATATCACCTGAATGATAACTAAAAATCCACAAATTCTTGTTGTCTTTAGTGGAGAAGCTTTTCAAGATTTGAGATTTCAAACAATAAATAAATTAAATGGATACCCAAAACTTAAAAAGATGTTGGGAACCCATAACTATATAAAGCTCAATTCACTACACGAAAAAAAAAACACACACACACATATGCAAATATTTCTCTGGGGCAATTTATCGAACATGTAGAGGTCGCTGATGAAAATACGAACACAACCCAGAAAGGAAATTGATACAACTTTTGAAGACTGATTGCCTTAAAACTCACCTAAATTTGGCTTTCAAGGCGATCGCCACCGACACTGAGAAAGCAAGTTTAGAGAGAGAGAGAGAGAGGAGAGAGGGACTGGAAGTCAGTTGGTATTAGAAACAACAAGATGGATCACACTCATTCGTCAAAAGCCCAATCCGATTTGAGGTGGTGTTTGTTTGTTGGAGTACAGCCCAAGTTTGGGTTTTTGACATGTAGCTACAAAAATAAAAAATAATAATAAAATTGAATTTAAATTACATAAAAGAAATTTACTTTTTCGATGATGAATTTAAAAAATTAAATATAATTAATTTGACCTTTTTGAATTTTTTATAAAAAATTTAAATTAATATTATTTTTTCTATTGGTCTGGTCGAGTAAAATCGTAAATTTTTCTAAACTTTTTTTAAAAGAAATTTACGAAAAAACGAACAAACAGCCACGTCAGATATATGAGCCCGAGAAGTATATGTTGTCGTAAGCCTAAAATAGTCCACTTGTCAACCTTTTAACAATAATTAATTGTGCTTGCCACCAATTTTAATCAAGGTATTATAAAAAAAATTTGGGCAAATTACATATACCCTTCGAGATTTAACAAAATTACAGATATCCTATGAGGTTTGAGAAATTATAGATACCCGAAGGTACTATTTGCATAACAAATTATGTGGCAAATTGTTATCGAAATATAAACCTCAAGGGGCAATTTGTTTTGAAAATATACACCTCATGGGGTATCTGTAATTTTTGAAATCTCAGGAGGTATCTGTAATTTAGCTAAACCTCGAGAGAGGTATATGTAATTTGCCCAAAAAATTATTGTCTTGCTGTAATATTACAAAATTGTAATGGCCTATTATTATTATAGCTCAAACGACTCGACAATATTTTTTAATGAAAAATATAAGACTTAATATATTACACATTCAATAATAAATCGTTTAATAAAGTATATTAATATATCAGAAAACAAAAAAAAATTCAAAAGGGATAAAAAAGAATCTCCACACAAGAAAGGTATGACTCAATATTAACATCAATACAACAGATTATTTTGTCAATCTTAAGGCTTTATTTACCCAAAATTTTATTTTATTTAATTAGTGATAAAGAAATATGAACAAATAATTTTATTTTTCTTTGTCTCAACAAATCTTAAATCCATACAGAGCATGAGTTTGTTATGTCAAATTGTAAGGAATAACATTTTAACATAGAAAACTCAAATTATTGACAAAAAAAGTGGGATGTAAGTTTTTAGTACCCACAAACATTTTGGCCTTTTTGTAAATTTTTGTCACAATTGTTATTCACCCTTGTACTCCTCTTATCCCACATGTAATCATTATTTTTGGTCATGAGTTTACTAATTCCAAAGTACATATTATCCTCTCATCGACATAGACTAGATGTATTAATCAAGTTATAATCAAAAGAGTTAAAGAATGAAACATTTAGGCCAAGTTTGATAAGTTAAAAAAAAGTTAAAAAGTCAAAAAGTTACTTAAAAAGTTAAAAGCTATCATTATTCACCAAAAGTCAAAAATTACGGCTGCATAATTCCCAATTCTAATTTTTCCCAATAAAAAAGCATAAAAAAAAAAATTAGACAACGAAGAATGAACTATACAAGATCATAGGGTGGCAACAAGTAGAGTATGGGTCAGGGACCCAGCACGCCACTCCCACCCCAGCCCCCAGTTAACCTAACAATAATGGCTGCATCTAATTGCAGTAGTCTGCAGCAGATATACAGACCAAAGTTTCATGTCATTTAATCCAAACGTAAATCGTTTTGAATCGCTAAATTCACCGTTTTGAAATGAAAATGTGCCATGTTTGGAAACATTTGCATTCCAAATGTAAATCGCTATGGTATTAGCCTTTTCTGGTAGTACTGTTTTATCACAAATTTTAATAAGATGGAACATATATTCTTCTCCATTAAAAATAATACAAGTGCATTCATTAAAAAAAAAAACAAACAAACAAACAAAAAACAAACAAACAAACAACTTTTACCATAATATATGCATGAACTGTTACCATAATTTTAAAAACAATATATACATTAAGCTGGCCATACCCACATCCTATTTTTAGGGAAACTCACATTTATGTATCTTTATTTTGTCATACATAAGAGCGCACACACATATACAAGTATACATATGTTTTTATGGCTCTGCCAAAATCGGTTTATCCTCTCGTTTAAGTGCGTCTTTTCTTCATATATCACCTGAATGATAACTAAAAATCCACAAATTCTTGTTGTCTTTAGTGGAGAAGCTTTTCAAGATTTGAGATTTCAAACAATAAATAAATTAAATGGATACCCAAAACTTGAAAAGATGTTGGGAACCCATAACTATAAAAAGCTCAATTCACTACACGAAAAAAAAAACAGACACACACATATGCAAATATTTCTCTGGGGCAATTTATCGAACATGTAGAGGTCGCTGATGAAAATACGAACACAACCCAGAAAGAAAATTGATACAACTTTTGAAGACTGATTGCCTTAAAACTCACCTAAATTTGGCTTTCAAGGCGATCGCCACCGACACTGAGAAAGCACGTTTAGAGAGAGAGAGAGAGAGAGAGAGAGAGAGAGGAGAGAGGGACTGGAAATCAATTGGTATTAGAAACAAGATGGATCATACTCATTCGTCAAAGCCCAATCCGATTTGAGGTGGTGTTTGTTTGTTAGAGTACAGCCCAAGTTTGTGTTTTTGACGTGTAGCTACAAAAATAAAAAATAATAATAACATTGAATTTAAATTACATAAAAGAAATTTACTTTTTCGATGATGAATTTAAAAAATTAAAAATAATTAATTTGACCATTTTGAATTTTTTATAAAAAATTTAAATTAATATCATTTTTTCTATTGGTCTAGTCAAGTAAAATCGTAAATTTTTCTAAACTTTTTTTAAAAGAAATTTACGAAAAAACCAACAAACACCAACGTCAGATATATGAGCCCAAGAAGTTTATGTTGTCCTAAGCCTTAGGCCTCGTTTGGGAACATGCTAATTTAGTAACTTTTTGGCTATTTGGCTAAAAAGATAGGTAAAAAAAACTTGTATGTTTGGGATAACTTTTTGGCTAATTACGAAAAGATGTGCAAAAAGTAGAGAGAAAAGAGAATCTTTGACTTTTTGGTATGAGTTGTTGGCTTTTTGGCTAATTTAGTAACTTTTTGACTAATTGGCTAAAATAGCCTCTTGCCAAACGAGGCCTTAATGCTGTGTTTGGTTGGGGGATTTGGAGAGGAATTTGGAAAGGGAAAAGGAAAAGGCGTGTGAAACTATGTGAAATATAAGTATGATTTATTCACATTTCACCTACCTTTTTCATTTCCATTTCCAAATCCCTTCCTAAATCCCCTAACCAAACACAGCATAAATAGTCCAGTTGTCAATCTTTTAACTTAATTGTGCTTGCCACCAATTTTAATCAAGGTATTATAAAAAAAATTATTGTCATGCTGTAATATTAAAAAATTGTAATGGCCTATTATTATTACAGCTCAAACGACTCGACAATATTTTTTAATGAAAAAATATAAGACTTAATAAATTTCACATTCAATAATAAATCGTTTAATAAAGTATATTAATATATCAGAATACAAAAAAAAATTCAAAAGGGATAAAAAAGAATCTCCACATAAGAAAGGTATGACTCAATATTAACATCAATACAATAGATTATTTTGTCAATCTTAAGGCTTTATTTACCCAAAATTTTATTTTATTTTTATTTTATTTAATTAGTGATAGAAATATGAACAAATAATTTTATTTTTCTTTGTCTCAACAAATCTTAAATCCATACATAGCATGAGTTTGTTATGTCAAATTATAAGGAATAACATTTTAACATAGAAAACTCAAATTATTGACAAAAAAAGTGGGATGTAAGTTTTTAGTACCCACAAACATTTTGGCCCTTTTGTAAATTTTTGTCACAATTGTTATTCACCCTTGTACTCCTCTTATCCCACATGTAATCATTATTTTTGGTCATGAGTTTACTAATTCCAAAGTACATATTATCCTCTCATCGACATAGACTAGATGTATTAATCAAGTTATAATCAAAAGAGTTAAAGAATGAAACATTTAGGCCAAGTTTGATAAGTTAAAAAAAAGTTAAAAAGTCAAAAAGTTACTTAAAAAGTTAAAAGCTATCATTATTCACCAAAAGTCAAAAATTACGGCTGCATAATTCCCAATTCTAATTTTTCCCTAAACACTAATTTATACAATTTTTTAATACACATTTTTTCATAAAAAGTCAAAAAAGTTAACCCAAACAACCATATTTTTTTCCTCAACTTTTTAGTCTAAAAAGTCAAAAAGTGCACTTATTTAGGACATCCCAAACAATCCCTTAATTATTGATCCATCTCTTAAGATTCAAACTCATCACTTTTCATATAAAACTTAGAAACTCTAGCTAATAAATAAGGATTGAGCTTGTTTCAAATTCAAATCTAAACTTTGGAGAATTTAAGGAGTCTTAAGACCCGCCACAGGCACAGTTTATGCAAATTCAAGGTTTAGGATTTGTTTTATAGGTTCAAAAAGGCTTTTTGCAAGAGCATGAAGTTTTAGGCAATCAATGGGTGGTGTCTCTAATATTTCTCATTGGTCATATTTCAAGCCTATTGAATAATTACTAGACAATAAGCCAATGGTGTTGCTTGAGAGCACACATGTCAACTGCCTCACAAATCTATAACAGTGAATTGTTAAGCAGCCCAACTGTGATGTTATGAAACAACATGCTTTCACATTGAGAACGTAAATATACCAAATCACATTGAGAACATCAATATACCAAAACATACATATTTTGATGAGAGAGAGATGAGAGTTAGAAACTCTGACAGAGCACTGCATCACCAGGGCAGGCAGCTTATTAATTGCATAACCAAATTAAAATTTCATGAATTTATTGGTATCCCTCTCTATTGTGTTTTGTTCTTCGAAGGAAATCTGAGCATGTTTGTCACTTGAGGCATGAATAGGCCAATGATTTCTCCTCCATGAGCTCTTCTGCCGTGGCATCCATCTTTCCCCTTGAAAACTCATCGATCTTGAGCCCTGCTATTCGAATTAGTTTCATTAATAACACAACTTGCAATACTATAAAATTTGAACTCCCTTCTATTACCATATCAAAGTATAATAATATGCAACATACACAGCCAAAATAATATCAGCCAATTTCATTTTTTAACTAATTGAGGATGAATTTGCAAATTAAAAAACCCATAATTTTTTCTATTACAAAATGCAATGTCGGCATGGCAGCAATGCATTTATCATGAATGGAGCCCACACTCTACCATGATGAATGTAATTCTGCTTGACACATTGCATTTTATAAAACATCAAAAAACTTACCCTGCACAATTGACCAATCTCCATTCAACTCATCGATCTTGAGCCCTGCATTCGAATTAGTTTCATTAATAACACAGCTTGCAAGACTGTACTATAGAAAAATCCATGTTCCCTAAATTGTTGAAGAAAAAAATAACAAAAAAAAGAAGCAAAGGAAGTAAATAAGTAGATGCAAATAATGTAGTATAGAAAGAAGAACAAGAAATAGATTATTGCAACATAAAATTCAACCTTTGGAGTTCCAAGAACCCAATCACGTATGTGATCACAAGCAGAGCTTGCAGCAGATAATGCACTGGATAGCTTCCGAGCTTGGATGATGGCTGCACCTCGCTGCTGCACGGTGGTGATGAACTCTGTTTTTAGCCTGAGACATTCAGAAATGGAGGGCTGTTAGTAAAACAAATCTGAACAGTTACATACATTACTAGGTTGGGAGGGAATATGGGGATGCCTTTTAAACAAGCTTGCCTAATTGTCTTTCTTTAGTTGCAAAATGAAAGTTTAAAGGGGTCTATCAAGCCCGAGCCTAACCTCTGCGCAAACTTGTATGCCCAAGTCTGAGCTCGAGTTTAAATTAAAGAATTTGAGCTAGGCGATAGTTGCCCAAATTCAAAAACAAAATATTTATCATGGTTGTCTTAAACTGATGTATAAACAAATTATCTCAAAAAGTAAAAACATGAAACATAATAAGAAAATTAATTTATGTATACATAATATGATTTCATTCAAATTGTGAGAAAATATTCATTACTTTATATTAATTTATGTTTATTATATATGATTTATATCAACAATGAATTTCAGGTTGCTCAGGTTGTGAGAACCTTGCTCAGAGGCACTGTTTTGAATTTAATTCCAGTTAACAAATTTTAACGGAAGCCCAAATCAATTTTGAAATTATACTACCCAAGATCTAAAATTTTTTAGGCTAGACTTGAGTCACTCGAGTTGTGTGCCCAAAATACTCTCCTACGATTGAGAGCATAGGACATTACAGTTGGAAAATTTAAAAGGTACGATAGGATATTAGATGTACCATACCAATTATCGTCACCAACAAGTTCTCTGACCGGCTTATGTGCGGTACCGGTGTTAACAGTTGCATGATTGACATCAGGATATTGAGTTGAAGAGTGATTCCCCCATATGATCACATTCTTCACATCTCCAACATGAACGTGTATCCTCTCTGATATTTGGCCTAGGGCTCTGTTATGATCAAGCCTTGTCAGGCATGTGATGTTTTTCTCTGGAATTGAAGGGGCAAATTCTTTCAAGATGAGTGCATTGGTGTTAGCTGGGTTAGCAACCACTAGCACCTGCATAGGAGGAATCACCAAGAAACGGTTTAACTGTGAAGAAAGGACAGTCCCAGTGCACAAGGCTCCACCAATGGAGTAGGATTCTTTGCAATAATTTTTGGTACTAATCCTGCAATGGTGGTTAAACCTTAAAGCACCCAACTGATTGTGTTTTTGAGGTTTAAAATGTACTAAAACCACCGTTCTAAGATTATTGCACCAACAATTATTTTAGTGCAAGGTCAAATGTACGCAGTCTTATCTATATCTTTAAACATAACAAAGATTTGGCATTTTTGCCAACAAGGTTAATAGAAAGTACAAATTGAAAAGGACTTGTAAAAACACATAATATCAGGGAAAGTCTATTCTGACAGAAAAAATTGTACATAAAATGTATCTAGGCTAATATAGCCATGATAGTTGAAATACCCAAATCAAGAGCCATCTTCAAGATGAATGCCTCTGATATTGTTAAGAGCTAGAAATCCATTCCCCCCCCCTAAATACCATATAATTTTTGTTATATTCCTAATAATTTTCAACATCTTATGCCAAAATATCATACATACATTCGGATACACACTCACACCTCAAACTTGTACCGAATCTATGTAATAGAATGACCAATTTCAATAAACTTATCTGACCTTGCAATTTGGAGCAGCATGCTTCTCCAAAGCCGAAGCTTGAGCCTTGTAAATGGATACATTTTTTGACATCACATCCTTCCTCTCCATTCCTTTGTTCCGGGGGAATCCTCCGACCATGATTGCAATGTTAACACCTTTACAAGCTTCAACAACGTCCGTAGTGGCAACAATACCTGTTCAACCATATATCAATCTTGTGAATTAACAAGAGTCTAATTGTTCAATTTTGTTGAGTTGGCTTATTTTTGTCTTTAAAGAACTTTTTTTAAACTCAATTAAAGATTTTTTAATTTTTAGGATTGTCTAATATAGATAGACTTAAAAGGACAATTAGAAGCAATACCCCTAAGAAGAGGAAAGGCAGCATCAACCAGTTCCATTTTCACCCCTTTCAAGGCCTCTGCAGCAGGTTGAATATCAAGCATGTGAAGAATTACAGGTTGATCTGGACCTAGCATGGCCCCTCTAGCTATCATTGGAACAAGTGCATAACCTATTTGTCCTGTGCAACAAGTTTATAATAATAAATATTAATGATCACCTTACAAAATCATTTCAAATTGCAACAAATGCAAAAATAAAATAAAATTCAGTAATATGGCAAAATGAAGAGAAAAAGTGCAAAATTTTTAAATGGGATTTGCATGCTTGACTTGCATCGGGCAGTCTTCGAATTTTGATAATCAAGGGATAAATTCCGACACACACACCCAAAAAAAGAAAGAAAAACTTGAAACAGAAGCTCATCTTTAGAAATCACATTTAAACAGATCAAATAATTGAATCAATTCATGAATGACCTTTCAGTAGAGTTTGGTTGGTTGAAATGATTTTATTTAGGAATGGAATGATTATATTCCTCAACCTCCCAAAAGAATGACCATTTGCCTAAATTGGTGAATGATAATTCCATTTTACATTTCAAATGTAAATTCTTTTCTGTTTACCGAACCAAAATGAGATTCTGATGAAATGACCATTCCATTCCAGCCAGATTACACACTGAACCAAACACTACATTAGTATATTCAGCGATCTAAGAGTTTTAGAGACCCACAAAAGGGAATATTTTGTTACAACAAAACATTAGGAGACTAACTGCAGGACATCATCAAAAGTAAAAGAAAAAAAAAAAAAAAAGACCTTTAGCAACAAAATTTTAAAATGTTGCTAATAAATGCACTTTTAGAGACAACAATATCATGCCAAAAGGTTTACTTTTTGAGATGAAAATTTTGCTCCGAAAATGATAGTAGTAATTCATTACTAAATGTTCAAATTTGTCTCTAAAAATACAACAATGATACTTTTGGCAACTAAGATTTTTCATCCCTAAAAAGTAATTTTGTCCCCTAAATTTGTCTCTAAAACCGTAATTTGTTGTAGTCATAATTTATATTCATACAACAACCAAAAGTATTGCAAAGTTCACAAACAAGTCTTCGAATTTTGATAATCAAGGGATAAATTCCGACACACACACCCAAAAAAAGAAAGAAAAACTTGAAACAGAAGCTCATCTTTAGAAATCACATTTAAACAGATCAAATAATTGAATCAATTCATGAATGACCTTTCAGTAGCGTTTGGTTGGTTGAAATGATTTTATTTAGGAATGGAATGATTATATTCCTTAACCTCCCAAAAGAATGACCATTTGCCTAAATTGGTGAATGATAATTCCATTTTACATTTCAAATGTAAATTCTTTTCTGTTTACCGAACCAAAATGAGATTCTAACGAAATGGCCATTCCATTCCAGCCACATTACACAATGAACCAAACACTACATTAGTATATTCAGCGATCTAAGAGTTTTAGAGACCCACAAAAGGGAAAATTTTGTTACAATAAAACATTAGGAGACTAACTGCAGGCCATCATGAAAAGTAAAAGAAAAAAAAAAAAAAAAAGACCTTTAGCAACAAAATTTTAAAATGTTGCTAATAGATGCACTTTTAGAGACAACAATATCATGCCAAAAGGTTTACTTTTTGAGAAGAAAATTTTGGTCCGAAAAGGATAGTAGTAATTCATTACTAAATGTTCAATTTTGTCTCTAAAAATACAACAATGATACTTTTGGCAACTAAGATTTTTCATCCCTAAAAAGTAATTTTGTCCCCTAAATTTGTCTCTAAAACCGTAATTTGTTGTAGTCATAATTTATATTCATACAACAACCAAAAGTATTGCAAAGTTCACAAACAAGAAAACTAAATTCAACATAAAAATAAAATGAACATGCCTGTTGCACCAGTCACTAATACTGTAATAGGTTCCTTCTCCACATTCAAGAAGCTTGATATATGTCTGATGATCATCCATGACAGATACAGACAACCAGAAACCACAACTACCTTCTCAACCAATTCCAAATGATCCATTTTTTTTTTTCACCAGAACAAACCAAACCACAACTGTTTCTGATAAAATTTATCCAATATAACTAACCATACCTTACCACATTTATATATAACATAACACCAAGTGACCAAGCAAATGAAGTATCCATACAAACACATCACAGCAGGCAATCAAATGCCAATACAAAGTCTGTAAGCAACAGTATCCTATATCCTCAGTCCAAAGCAAAGTACATAATATAAGTATAAAAATTACACTTTATCCCCCTCAACTATCACCCTTTTTCACTTTACCCCCTCAAACTAAAAATTGATACGATGTACCCCTTCATCTTCTAAAAGTTTTCAATCTAACCCTTATGTCTCCATTATGTTAATGACATTGACAGAAAAGGTGCATGCACATGTCATATTTATGATAAAAATACCTCTTAAAAATCTGTCATAGACATGTGCACATTACATGCACTTTTTTCATCAATTTTGTTAATAGAACAGAGATATAAGGGTTAGATTGAAAATTTTCAGAAGATGAAAGGGGTACATTGTATCAATTTTTAGTTTGAGGGGGTAAAATAAAAAACGGTGATAGTTGAGGGGGGTAAAGTGTAATTTTCCCTATATAATAATGCACAGAAATATTATGTACTTAAAAAATTGTCCAAAATTTGAATGTATGTCCTAGATTTAAACTTTGTGTGGTGTGAGCTAAATTTGATCGCTTGTCTAAATAAACTATTTGTGATCCTTGTTAAACCAAAACATCTATTATGAATATCACTCTCAATTTAAAAAACAATCATGCTTGAAAGGTGCCCAAATTTTAAAATGTGAGGATCAAATTTACTTTGAGTGTGATTCACACTACAGCAAATTTAAAAACTTAAAATCTACATATTACATCAAATTTTGGACAATTCTCTCCGTGGCTATTGCATAGCCTTTTTTTTTTCAAAATTACTATTGTCAACAAAAACAAGTTGTGATTGATTCAAATAGTGAGGTTTTTTATTTTAAATAAATAGTCATTACACTTTATATAAAGTTCACTGTACTATTTAAATCAATCACAAAGTGTGTTTTGTTTAAACACTTATACATGAACAATACAATTTCTCTTTTTTTTTTTTTGGATGAGTTTTCTGTACATAGCATTTTCGTTTGTTTTTGTGTATCATTTTCCTTATGTGTATGTGTTACGTGTCAATGAATTTGAGGTGATAAAGATGTCTTCCTTCTTTGCTAGGAAAAGAACCTTACATGCCTAGACGCCATGTTTAAAAACTAGATTAGATTGAATGGCATTAAGAGTTATAGAATACTAGCGTGGTGATATTAGGTTAGCGACGTAGAATAAATTATATTTGTTTGTGCATTTAGTTGTTGAGATTAAATTTATAAAATTATCTATAAAAAAATAAATAAATAAAAAACCTTTTGTTTAAAAAAATAGCTTTATTATTTTTGTAAAATGAGGTTATAATGATCTTTTGACTATTTATAATAAGGATTGTGAATCCCACCCCTCTCTATGGGAATTTTATAATGATCTTTTTATTTTTCATATTTTGTTATCTTTAATTTTTTACTTTTTAGATGGACCTAAAAATTAAAATATTTGTAAAAAAAACTTTAAAAATTCCACTAAATACAAAAGAAAACATAAAAATTCAGTTCATAATTTTTTTTTGTATATATTGATTTTTTTTTTTATATTTCTTCACAAATATTTTATTTTTTAGTGTCTAGGTGCATCAAAGTTATGTCCATCAGAAATTTTTTTTAAAAAAATTTGAGTCTAGGTGCATCAAAATTATGTCAATTAGAAAAAAATTTAAAAAAAAATTGACTAAAACCGGACCAAAAAAATGTTAAAAACAATAAAACACATAAAATAAAAAATAAAATAGATTAATTATACCTACCTTTATAATTTAATCAAAATCTCACTTTATCCCTTCATTTTTAATTGTATCAATCAACCCTCTTACACTTTAAGTTAAGTTACAATTTGAGCCTTCAATCCGTCTACCCTTAACAAAGTTGACGAAACTTGTTATTTGAATAATGTGTGGCATTTTTGTTGTCTCATAAGAACCCTTACACTTTTACTAAATCTCACTTTACACCTTAGACTTTCACCTAAATCTCACTTTAATCCCTTAACTTTCAATTTTTGTTAGCTTAAATGCTACAAATAAAAATAAATGGACCAAACTGAGATTTTAGTGAAAGCACATGTATAATTTATCCTAAAAAAATCAAAATTTGTATTTGAAAACTCAAATAAAAGACCGAGTTGGATAAGCTCCTCTCCATACCTGTTTATATTCTTTTTATGGGTTTTAATTCGAATCTGCATTGATGATCTATCTTTTAGGGCCCGCAATGAATGTCGTCCATGCAAAAAATTAATTTAATCGAATAACTATATATATATTTTTTGGAATTGATTGGATAACTATAAACATGGGAAAAAAAATCTCATTTTATTTTATAAAGTAGATGGTTTAAATTTGCTTACCATTCATTTCATAAAACAAATTACGATTTATTTTTATATTTATAATTTTCTGATGAAGTTTTTTGTATGAATACTTTGATTGTAAGACTTATGAAATAAATAATTTGAATCATTCATACGGGTCCGGATTAAAATATATATGTATATATATGAAAAGATATAGAAAGATGTGGTATGAAGGGGCACTTATCCCGTTCATCATATCCCCAGAATAATAATTTCATACTAAGGCCTTGTTATTTGACAATTATGTATTTTAGTCAAAAAAAACTCGTTGTCATGTCATTCTCTCTATTTTATCATCTTTTAGTAAAAAATAAAAAAATTCTTATAATAATTTGTTCCTAGACGAGGCTTAAACATTTTTTTAATCCAATGCACCAATTAGCAATCCAATCTCTCATTCCAAATGCAGATTCAGATTTGTATGTTTGTATATATGACATTATGTATGTATATGTGAAAAACAAGGGGGGAGAGAGAGAGAGATTACCAGCGGCGCCGGTGACGAGAACCCTGACTGGATCTTTCGCCATTGTTGCAGAGGGAGGGAGAGAGAGAGAGAGAGTGAGTATGGAGCAGAAGATTCAATGTGTGTGTGTATATATATAATAGTCGTAGAGAGATAGGGAGAGAAGATTGAGAAAATCGAAGGGTGACGAAATACGAGGGGATAGCGATAGGGATAGGGTTAAGGGTGATCCTTGGAAGTTACAGAGAATGAGAGACAGCAGCTTTTACAGTTACAGACAAAAAGCAAAACGCCAATCTTTGGAAGTTCGTTTTCATGCACCATCCCCGTGCCCTCCTTACTTTTTCATGAATTCGGGTGGGACGGGACTTTGAAATGGGAAAACAAATAACAAAATTTAGCGAAAATGTAAGGATAATTTGCTTGTTTAGAAAGTTGGTTATTTTAATAAATTATTTTAATAGGTTAAAATATTTATATTTAGTAAAATAATTAGATTTTTTGGTAATTAAATATAATATTTATAAAGAAAAAGTAAAATAATTATAGATTTGATATGATATTTTATCTTATTAACTTTTAGTCTATTTTTTCTTTTTGTAAATTTTAACCTGAAAAGCAAACAAAGCCAGATAGAAGAGTTTTTAAAAATATATCAAAATATATTAGAAATATATTTTATATCAATGACTAATATCAATTCCGCCTAAACACACACTCTCTCTCTTTCTCTCTCTCTCTCTTTGACACATATCTAAAAATGCAATAATGATTTAGACCACTAAAAAATACATCACTAATAGCTCTAATACATTGGAAATGACAAAAAAAATAATAAAAAAATAAAAACAAGGCATAGAAAGTGGGCGGGACCCACTGCCACATCATTAGTGCTCCCTTTAGTGATCCCTTTTAGTGCTCCCAAGCATTTTTCCTAAAAATGTTAGCCTCTCACCTACCACACAATTAGAGGTGTAAATCTGACCCGGCCCGACCCGGCCCATGTTGGGCCTCGCGGGCTCCTGCCAAAATTCAGGCTCGCCTGGGCCGGCCCACGAGCTAAAAAATCCTGCCCAGGCCTAAGAGGTATTCAAGCCTTGGGCCGGGGCGGTGGGGGTGGCCTAGGCCTGGTCTCGGGCTTGGTGGGCCTAATCATTTTTTTATATTTTTTCTACTAAAATTTTATTATCTTTTACTAAAAAAGACATTGGACCTCGGGCAGCCCGAATTTCAAAATGATGGCCCAGGCCCAAGCCTAGGGGCTCGAGCTGGGCTCGAACCCGGGCCTAAACGGGCCAGGCCACCCACGGGTCGCGAGCTATTTTTACACTCCTACACACAACCCCCCTCTCTCTCTCTCCTCTTGATTTTAAACTCTCTTTGCCCATTTCTCTCTCCATTTCTTTGTTCCCATTTCTCGCTTCGACCACTCAGACTGTCGTGCTCCGATAGCTCAGTTGCCGTTGTTCACTCCAATCGTCAAGTATTGAAAGATTTCATTATGTTGGGTTTGTGTGATTTTTTATTTTTTGATTAGATATGTGTTTGGGTTTGTGTTTCAAAAACACAAATCCAAACACGTACCTAATCAACAAGCTTTAGTTACACTTGGGCTCAGGGACGGAACTAGGATTTTATTATCGGAGGAGCCAAAAGAACAATAATTTTTTCACCATGTACACAAATACACATGTATATAGAATATGATATATAAATTGTATATATACATAAATAAATAAAAAATTATATACCATAAAAGCAATCTCTAATAGCACTACAAAAAATTAAGATTTTAGAGACCAAAATTTAGAGACAAAATTATTTTTTAAGAACCAAATATTTTTGTTGCAAAAGTATCGTTATTATATTTTTAGTAACGAAATTTAGACATTAGTGATAAATTATTATCCTTTTAAGACCATTTTTTTTGTCTTAAAAGATAAATCATTTTGAGACCGAATTATTTTGTCTTTAAAAGTCTATTTATTAGTGTGATTTTTAAAATTTTGTCGCTAAAAGCCTCTTTTTGACTTTTCGAGACGATTTTTTAGTTACTATTCTCACGACGATAAAAATTGGTCCATAAATGTCTTTTGCAACAAATTTTCACTTTTAGAGACCAAAAAATTTGCTCTTTACAACTCTTATATGTTGTAGTATAGTATGAAAAGGTTTTTTTTTTTTGTGCAAAATAGAAAGAGAATGTAAGATGGAAAAAGAATGAGATATACATTTTTTATACCGAAGAGCCATTTTATGTATAACATGGTATATATTTTTAAAATACTATGATAAACAATTTTTTCATAGAAACAGGGGGGCTATGACCCCCTATAGTTTTTCCCTGTTTATGCTCCGTCTGTTAGGGCAAAAAATATTTCAAATGGAAAATATTTTCTATGATTTTTTTTTAAGAAAATGTTTTATTTTATTTATTTATTTTTTTTTTTTAATGTTTGGTGGTGGTGGTGGTGGTGGTGCCGAGGTGGTGGCGGAGGTGATTGTGATAGCGATAGCGATGGTGATGGTGGTGTGGGGGTGGAGGTAAGAGTGACAGTGGTAGTATGTTGACATTGGTAAGATTTTAGTCTGAAAAATATTTTTCAAAGTAAAAAATATTATGTACTTGTTTTCTGTTGATCATGAAAAATATTTTATGTTGACTTTTGTTTTTCATTATACCAAATATTAGAAAATACAAAAAAAAATATTTTTTGTCCAAACAAACAGAGCGTTATACATATAGTTTGATTCAAGACCAACCATTCCAATTTATTCTCTAACTTCTTTCACTTTAATTTGAATTAAATGATGCATTTGTTTTGATAGAAATTATTTTTCAAAATATGTTGTCCTCATTTTCAAAAAATAAAATAACAAAGAATTTTTTTCATACTCAATGAAAAATAAGTTTGTTCGACAAAACTTTTTATTTTTATTTTTAAAAGGTCAAACTCCTTTCTACTTTTAAAAGTGAAAAATGTTATCCGAACTCAATGTTACCATGTTACCACAACCCATTACCGCAACCACCTTCTCCATCACTTCACCACCACCTTCTACCACCTCATCATCATCGCTAACACTGTAACTAATACATTAGTTTTATAGTTGCAACTAAATATATGAAAATATATTCTATAAAAAAATAATTATTATTATTATTTTCATAAAAAATGCTTTCTATTAAAAAAGTATTTCCTTGCCAAAGCAAGTAAATCAAAAGTGCGTAGGAACCCATACCATCATGAGTTCAATCTTATTGTGAACAATATATATTTTTTATTGGTGTAAAATAATAGAACTTATCATTTTATATAGAATTAATCTATTTTGAAAATATGTTTGTATTTTTGAATCAATCATATTTTATATATTATTCACTCATTAAAAAAATATGTGAATAAATTCATTTTTTGCTTTCTTATGTGCAGTGTTGGGATGATCTCTTATGTCACGCTCCGATTTTACACGGTCCAGCCCACGTGAATAAATCCACAACCGATAAACAAAAACAACAATAAAATATAACAAAGCAACATCTCTCATGTGAATGAATGCTATAGAGTCATACAGTAAATGAGTTCTTCCGATTCATACATCCTACATACAACATCTAGGTGGTATGAATGTTCATTATACTAAACATACAACGATGTTAGTCATCAAGTTAAAATGCCCATAGACTTACATTATATACAAAGGGTGTAACCTTTACAAGAATGACACATGGCTTAATAAAGCAAGTAAATAGCCCATGGCCTACAAATACAAGAACCACCCTATACGGTTCCGAACGCAACTTTATATCACTGTCCACATCTACACATATACACCTGAAAAACATTTTTAGCCACATAGGATGAGCATAAAGCCCAGTAGAGATACTACAACACAATGTATGAATCTTAACGAAGTCATAAGGTGAATGCATATGCAATGTCCTTGCAAAACAATTCCACATTTCCATCTCAAAACAATACAATGCCAGATTATATATTAATTCATGAAATAATCTCTTAACATTAGTAACAGGGTGGTGAATATAACACACTTTAAATTTCTAACCAAATACAACATTTCACGGAAATTTCGTCTGTAGGAAACTGTAAACCGACACCCATGTAAACATAGGTTATACAAGCATTACTATTGCCATTTCACAAAAAATTCCTCCACAGGAATCGGCACCCATATATATACCCGGTTTTTAGGACTTTCACCATGAACACACAAACCAATTTAATTTGAAGGAACCACATCACTTACTCAGATTCATCAAGATATTCACCCATTTCTCTCATAACAATTCATTTTCAATGATTAGGTGTGTAACAATGCTCAATGCGAAATGGATGAGAAATTAGTTTCAATTCACCAAATTTTCATGCAATTTCTACAATAATCAAAACTATTCTCCACCGATAGCCCAAAATAGATATTTCTAATCAATAGTGTTACCTGAAAGACAACCTAAGAGGGGGGTGAATTAGGTTTTTATAAATAAAATAATAATTCCCTAATAAAAATTATGACTAGCACAATAGATAAATATAGTTAATGATATAGTTAATGAAATAAAAATAATTAAAATAAGTGTTCTAACAACTATGTCAATTAATGATTTTAACACAATAAAAATATGAAATATAGCAATGGCAATTTAAATAAAATAAAGAGATAAAAGAGAAAGAGGCAAACAAATTTATAGTGGTTCGGCTTCAACTCGACCTACGCCCACTCCTCAAGCTTCACTTGAGATTTTCCACTATTCTCTAGCTTCACAGGGTGCTAGCAACCTTTTCACATATGGAGCAATCCTTTACGGATTTTACACAGACTTTCTAAGTCCAAAAACACTGAGTGTACTACACTCTTACTCAGGATTGAAAAGAATGTGCTTTTGCTTTCACAAAAAGTTACAAAAATTATCTCTTAAAGATAGATATAAAAATGAGACTCTGATTTTTCTGTAATCCTTACACAGGAAAGATGAGCTTAAAACTATACGACTTAATGTATAATTTCTGAGAGAGGATGTAAACAAAAATTGAAGAACACTTCTCAGAAAAATTTTCAGAGAATAGATGTGAGTGATTATAGATCAAAAAATATTTTCTGGTTTTTTTGGTTGTAACTTGTTTACATTAGAGACTTTGATATATATAATGAAACTTATTGCCGTTTATAGCCGTTGCAGTCATTTGAATTTAAGTCGTTTATAGCCGTTGTATTCATTTGAATATCTTCCACTCTATCATTACTAATT